ATTATATGCATTTTATTGTTAATTGTTTATTAAAAAAAAAAATATTATTATTACCTATATACCTAATATATATTAGGTTTGTGCTTTAATTTGTATTAAGGTTTACTAGCTACATGTATTTTTATGCTGTAGTAGTATTTTTTTTCAGAGTTGAAAATATTATATAACATATTAATTCAATAATTTTTTTTTCTACAGCTTATAGGTGTGACAACATTCCTACTAGCCTAAAGTGTCAATTTTTTTTTTATTAATATAATATTTTGTTTTTTTTCTTAATATATTATAAAACATGTTTTGTACTGTATGTTACCTACTATAATATATAATCATTATAATCAAAAGTTTAAAATTGTTATTTATCCTAGTTGTAAAAACATTACAGATCATAGGGGGATATTAGGAAAAAAAGTCTCGGAAAAAAGTTCCCGGTAAAAAAGTCCCCGGTAAGAAAGTCTTCAAATTAATATTTTATTTAAATTCAGTCTTTTATCATATAGGTATTTATATAGGTACATAGCCCATAGGTAATACATGTTACATATTTTTATTGAAAATAATTCTAGGATTAAAAATTATCGTAGATAAGTATTTATATACATAACTAGGTCCATTTTAAATTTATTGAAAATAATATAATATCAGAAACATAGAACAATATTATTTAAAAAAAATAAAAATGTAACTATTCAAGTATAAAAGATCTGAAAATATAATAGTAAATACAATTTTAACGTACATATTTTATTCAATTTTTTATTATTTTACGAGGGGTGCATGTCTGAACAAATATATTTTTATATTTTTTAAATAATATTATTATATGTTTAAGATATTATATTATTATATTATTTTCAATAAATTTAAAATTTAAAATGTACCTAATTATGTATATAAATACTTATCTACGATAATTTTTAATCCTAGAATTATTTTCAATAAAAATATGTAACATGTATTACCTATGGGCCATGTACCTATATAAATACCTATATGATGAAAGACTGAATTTAAATAAAATATTAATTTGGAGACTTTTTTACCGGGGACTTTTTTTCCGTTTACCAATGTCCACGGTTAAAAAGTATTCGTAAAACACAGAAATATTCAAAAAATTACAAAATATCCAAAAATATGCAAAATAAAACTCCGTGTTCCGTATTGGCTATAATTCAAACTTGTAGCTACTTTTTGGACTATTAAAAAAAAATGCAAATGCATATAAATGTTCAGACCAATCAGACCCTAATTATTAATTATACCTACCGTACTTTTTTACCGCAGTTCAATTTTACTATGTAATCAACAATTTAAATTTTAAACGCTAGTAGTATAAA